CATGACAGTGACAATAGGGTTTAGGGTTTAGGGTTTAGGCAATATCAGAGTTTCAGAAACTGGGGAGGGATCCTCACACAGAACCTAAGAAGCAATGAGGACCCTAACCCATGTACATCCAAAACTTTTCCTTTTGCATCAGCTTTCCTAGAGCTTTTTTTGGTTTACACCTGGTCTATACATAGAGGAAACCCAAACCCCAAAACTTGCAGGGGCCTTATTAATTAGAATAGGGTGTTGCGCTCCTTATATAGTACTACTATAACAAGGAACCCGAACAGTAGTATTGGTCCTTATTTAGGCTTCTATATTGAACCCGAAACCCTGAACTATCGGAGCTCATGGGGACCTCCCTGGAGGCGCCGGCCGCGTTCAGCGAGTCCTGGTTCACTGGTTGCCATCGGATCTCTGTCTTTGGACCCAGGCTTTTTTTTCCCACCCGCCCAGCGCCCAGGCTTTAGGGTTTCGGGTTTTGCAGGTTTAGGGTTCGGAAGGTATGGGTTTAGGCTTTGGGCTTTTGAAGCTAGACTCGACTCTTGTTCATCAGAGGCTTTGCAGGACACGGAGCACCCGAAGCCCCGAACCCTAAAACCAACACCCGAAGGCTTGCACCCTAGACTCAAAAGAGCGAAAAGCATCAAAAACCACAAAACACTCCCCTTAGGATATAAGCCCGGCGCGTGAGTTCAAGATCAGGAACCAAGCGCTTATATAACCCTAAGCAGTAGGATCCTTGTTATAAGGAGCCCTAGAAAGAATCATGGCACTTCAAAAGCCATGAAAGAGCCCCAGGATCTGAGTACGTATCCGAGCCGAAACAGGTTACCGTGTTAGGTTTGGGGGGATGATATGAACCACTCCAAAACCCTAAGCCCTAAATCCTATAAGTCCTAAATTACGAAACCCCTATAAGCCTTAAGCGCTTAGCCCTAAACTCTAAAGCCTACCTGCGCAGCACCTAAGGAGCTTGGTTCTCCTCGGAGAGGGCAGGTCCAGAGCCGTGGTCGACTAAACGCGACAGGCCGGACCTCCCAAATGGAGGCGTTCGGCTCCGGGGTTTCGGGCCAGTGTAACATAGGGGCCTGAATAATAAGTACCTATATTATTCTGAGGGTTCCTTGAAATAGTTATAGTATATAATATACGCCAAAATCATATTCTGGTTACTATAAGGCCCCTATAGTAAGGGGTACCAGATGTGCTGTAGTTGCCAGGAGATGACGCTCTCGCATCGCAAACCACGGCTATAGGGTTCTTTTGCCTCCAACTTCGCACAGTACGAGCCCGAATGGGGCTTTGATACACTTCCCGATTTGTGCGTGGACTTTAAGGGTTCAGGGTATAGGGACAAGTAGAACCTGCTTTTTCGTGTGGTAGATGTGGGAGTACTACCGGTAGCAAGACCTGTGGTTAGAGGTTGAAAGACAACTCGGGCTCAAACGAAGTCTCTCGGTTCGCGTTCGTGTATGGAACGTTTTGGGCTTAGGATTGGAAGGTTCGACGGTGAATTTGGATTTTTGGTATCTTGAGGCTTCAGGGTTTCTTGCAGGACATATTCTAAGGTTCGGGCTGAGGACTCCTGGCTTCTTCCGTTTCGGTTTGTGGTTTAGGATGGGCTTTTGCCTCCCACCTAGCTAGGACAACCCTGCATTGCAGGTTTAGGATAGCTCAGGGATGAGGGTCTACGGCTTTTTTGTTGGTCTAACCTCCGGATGCAAGGATTTGGGGCTGGGGAGCCCCAGGCCCTACACTCTACAAGGATGACTCACTCTCTGTCAGTCGAATACCACATGTATGGAGTAGCTAAATTGACATACTACGAGAAGCTACGATGGGGGTCTCGATAATTCTTGGGGTATGCTACAGCCAATCATCTCAACCTTTATATACCCCTCAACATGACTATCTGCCACTCAATCTTATCTGGGTCGGGACAGCCTGGGCCTTGCAAACACACTACGGAACCCAAATGAAGAACCATATACGGCTGTTCAGTTCTTGTCAAACCACAATCACAACCCACCAAACTGAAATCTCCAGCTGCTGTCTGAGCTGTTGGGTGGCCTATTTTTCAGCCGTTTTCCTAAGATTAAACGTCCTAAACCCTAAACCCTACACCCTAAACCCTGCACAACCCTAAACCCTACACCCTAAACCCCATGGTTCAGCGAAACTTCAGCAACCCATCCCGACAAGTCCAGTCCACGCACAATGCCCCCCGGCACGGCTAAAATCCAAGAGCCTGTCACTCATGTACTCCCAACGCCGCAGAGGATCTCCAGCAGACTGCAAGGCAAAGCAAGTGAAGCTTTTTGGGCATATCCTACAAATAGAACTCGGTTGGGGCATGGTGCTTTTTGAGTGAGTCCATAGGATGATTCATAGGGATGTCGAGGGTCTCTGCTCGGATTGCCGAGCTTTAAGGCCTGGGTTGCTACTCCTAGCTGTTATTTCTGGTATTGTTGTCGTCCTGGCTATTATGTATAAAACTATCGTTGTAAGTCATGATGGGCACTCTTGCTACTATGTATACAACTATCGCTGTAAATCTTGATGGGCAATCGCTGTCTTTGGAAGGGGTAGCGGTGGGTTACTCCGTAGCTGCGATAAGCTGGGCACGGGAGTGTCGAATCGAGGCCCGCGTGTGGTGATTCTTCTGCTGCTAGCATGCAGGCAAGACATGATGGCTGCGCCGATGCAATTTCGTTTGAGGTCTTGAGAGTCTCTGGATTCTGAGAATCCCAAGCCCTCTCTCCCACTGCTGATCCTTTTCGGCCTCCATCCATGCAAGATGCTGCGAACAGCAAGCTCTGTCGATTGCGCTTCGCTAGCAGCAGCTCTACTGGCAGCCGGTCTGCTCCGTGGTCCATGAATCACCGGTTTAAACTCAAGGCCCAAGTGTTCATGCATTTGTGGTCTAAATCAGTGTGCGACGGTCTTCATAAGCATTTGCGCCATATTCAGCATCATCTTTACGGACCCTTAGCATCACCATACTCACAACTGCAACGTCTCTCATCGTCACTAGCATCATGACCATCACCATCCTCGTCATTATCATCACTAGCCGAAGGAGCAGAAGCAGGAGCGCAGGCAGCAGCACCAGCCACGGCGACAACAGCAGCAGTTTTGCAATTTTCGCCAATGACATTGTCATCGTCGTAAGCCTATCATCAGCTGAAGCCTCGCTTACCTTCCAAATGGTGTGACTGTCAGGCTATGCTTATGGCTTATGGTGACCAGCATGGTTGCCGCCTCTAGTTCAAATCAGTTGGTGATGTCTACATCTATCCCTTATTAGTAAAAAAACGCGTCAGCTGGTTAATCTTAAACCTCAATGCAGACGGTCTGTAGCTACCAGTATCAAAACTACACCTCGTGACGTCAACATACTCCTGACCGGTGCACAAGCAGAGAACCCTCGAGAGAGCCAGAGAGCACAAAGGGCTCGTCACGACTGGCAATCAAAGCCAGCTGCAGGAACTCCCTATGAAAGAGATGCATAGGCATGACGCCGAACTCGGCATTTCCATATTCATGATTCTGGGTGAAGGAGGACGGAACAAGCGACTACAGAAGTTCGAAATTCCAGAATCCTCCCTCCACTACACTTCTGGCTGCTGGTCGTGTGTCAAGTGTAGGAGGTTACTTGCTGGAACAACGGCCATGCTGCCGGTCGACCTTGACAGGCACATCGTAACCCTCTCCCCGGCGAGCTGAAGAAGCTGCAGGTGACCATACCAGCCCGATGTTCCTCCTGAGACGCAGGCCCCACCAAACTCCATGCCCGAAAGCTTCAACAGACTTGAAGGGCTTCTCCTGCCGGCACCCCTTTCCTTTGGGTAGATCCCACTTAATAAATCGACAACGCAGTCACTTCAAGGAACTTCATGGGGAGCCCTCTCCCGTGGACAGCAAGGGTAGTTCCGGTTGTTTTCGGTGGTTTCTACCACGTTTTCGTCCAGGTGCATCGGCCGTGAGACGAGGGCTTCCTGTGATTCGGTGGAACCTTGCCTCCGTTGCGAGACTGTGCTCACAGTGTCTGGGGCACCTGTCCAACCAAGCCAACTAAGCTCACGAGGAGCATGTGTCAAGAGAAGGGAACGTGAGGGAACAACTAGTCCACGATGTATAGGTCGAATTAAGAGGCGCGGAGCCAGTTGAGGACTTGTTGAACTGGGCGTTGCCTTTAGTGTACAAACTTAGAGCCAGCCGTGAATTCCGGATCTTCGTTGTTAGGTGCCACCAGTCCTGCACTCGTACTGCGTTGCATCCACAAAATTGGCCGGTCCCGAATAATGAGGAACCCTAATTCAGGTCTCTGACCCACAGGCAGGGACCCCTAAAATTCTGAGAAGGGTGTATATATAGAATATAGAAGACGGGTAGGGGCACGCCAGCATTTCATGCCTCACGTAAACTCGCACCAATTGCGATTGCAAGTTGATAAAAATCTTTTGAAGTAGCAGTACTGACGCTGGCTTACAAGCTGCCGCGGGTCGGATGCCACAACTGTGCGCGCGCCGAGAGAGGGAAAGCAGGAGAATGGATCGGGGCCTTCCACTTATACAGAACGAAGAATCCGCAAACCACGTGGCCCTTCTGACGCGATGCTCAAGGATTGCCTACAATGCAGGGAGAAACTGTAAGAGTAGTTTGAAGCCTCTGATTTCCACCCCTCTGCGCCGTATTGCAAAGACACCTGTGTTGGCCGAGGTCAGTTCTTTTGTGAGACCCTCAGACCAACAGGTGCGATCGCTCAACAACTTCGTTATGTAAAGCTCCATCGTTACATAAAGCTCCAAGAGGAAGGATGATCTGTAGCACCACTCGGCATAATATTCATAATTCATAACCTTTTTCCATGTGTGTACTGCGTACTTCTGTGGATGCACCACGGGCAGTTCCCGAAGGCCACAGACTGCTCAACGAGCAGGTGCTGAAAACAAAGGCAACCACACCCACACCTGAAGGTGAAAGGGCTGCGCTTTGGCAAGCAGCTAGACTTCTTCTTCAGTCCAGCCATAACTCGTGCGGCATGTCGGACACAAGCAGGACGAGGCCGACAAAGACAAGGACCAGGTGGCAATACACTCCTCGTGGAAGACATGTCCACATGGCAGAATGGCCACATGGCTGTCAGGAACGAAGTCTTCCAGGCAGCAGCTGCATGTCTTCGCAGAATGGGCGCAGCTTGCCTGCATGAGCCCAGGGCAAAGATGGGTTCCAGGCTCTCTGACCCCAAAGGCGACGTTTCAGCCAGTTCGAGCGCACTGGCTACCGGGTTAAAGTGGCGAGCCGGAGCTCACTTTGGCAAATGCAGAGAAAAAGCTTCAAGATAGCTTAAGTTCTGAGAAATTTGAAAGATACTTGTTCGTGGCATGGCTCAGACCTCCCACGCCTGTTTGTGCAAAACCCATAAACCCTGCTGCAGCCCTAGGTGCTCGGCTTTTGGAGGGCTGCTTGGACACCACCCATTCCGCAGAATCCTCCACGCACTTCACGCAAACGCAGTGTAGCCTTGAGGGCAGTGGAAGCACAACATGAACAACTCGGGGTCTCTGAACATCTCCAAACTCAAACTCGAAACGTCGTCTGACCCTGTAGACATGTCCCCAAAACATACAAGAACTATACTATACTACTGGTACAAACCAAGCCGCTCAGGACGGTCAGCATCGATTCCCTCGAAGGTCTGCGAGGCCCAAAGGCATTTGCGCTCTCGGATCCTGTCTTCCAGCACTAAGCTTTATGGGGTTTCGACTCACGCACTCGCGCACAAGGCATAGCTTCATAGGTCCCGATCTTTATGGGGTTTAGGGTTTAACTCGGGGCCTTAATACTTAGAATGGGGCTTGTAGAGTATATTAAACTATAGTACTGATGAGGAGCCCCACATTAGTATTATGTAGGGTCGATACGCGGTAGCTCCTTCGAACAATCAAACCTTGTCTGGCGTAAACTCCCAACAATCCACAGTGCTCTTCGAGTCCCCATGCAGCTGCTCTGTGCTTCTCCAAGTTCGGACAAGCACGCCGATTCGATTGCTTTGACTATTGCCCCGTGGCTGAAAAAGGTTCATGAAACTCCTGTAGCTTTTGGTCTCTCGAACCAGATAAGAAGAATGCCTCAAGTAGTTTCCAACTTCCGGAGCAAGCTCGGGGAGCTAATATTGAAGAGCGAAGCAGCAAAAAGAAACACGACCGTTGACCTTCTATATGACCTCCAGCGCGCTTTACATCACGAATCTAGATCTCGCCTCGACCCAAACCTAGTTCACAAGTTTGAAGCTTTTTTGGATGCGAAGGATGTAGACCTCCCCTCACAGGCCCAAGGCCCGGACAAAGACCTGCCTGCGAAAGAGACAAAGTGTTTTGAGCTTCTAGTTAAGGGTTTATAGGGTTTAGTGGTTTAGGGTTTAGGGCTTAGTGGTTTAGGGTTTAGGGTTTCTTCATCAATCAGGGGTGCAACCCTCAAACGATTGCAGCGACCACAGCATGAAATAACCAGCTGCCTGGCCGGCTCCACTTGCTGTGCTGGCTGACGGTCAAAGACCAGAGCAATCGTTCCCACCATAACCTCGGGACAGGTAGTGCATCGGGATTTTTGCGAACAGCGTGTGTCTGACCATATGTGTGCCAGCCCGAAGTGAAGCTAAGCGCGAACAGTCGCTCCCTGTCTACCGTTACATCTCTGATGAAAGAAATCAAACCTGTTCTGCGGATTCACAAGCGGAAAACAACAGCAAGTCAGAACGAGCTGGTCGCCTGACGTGTCGAAAGCTCCCTACACTTGCAACACAATCATCTGAACAGCAAAAAAAGCGCAGAACCGAAAGCGACATGCATCAATGCCCACTGCCCCAAAAGAGTCGAAGCCCCAAAGAAGCAAGGCGCCGTGCAGCCGAGCGGGATGATAAACAGCGCAGAGTACCTGACAGAAGACTCTCACTAAACAGAGAACCCAAGGTTTGGGGTTTAGGGTTTAGGGTTTAGGTTTAGGGTTACGGTCGTGGACCCGACTAGTTGAAATCAAAAATAGTTGGATAACATTTCCGGAGCTCTCTTGTGTCAACGCTCCGTTGCCGGCTATTGGATCAAATTGCTGTTGGAGAGGCTGCTTGTCAGTTTTCGGAATGTCTTCACGAAACACCTGTGAAAAGTGGGCACACGACACACGGCTGTGAATACCTGCGCAGCCTGAGAAACAAAATCAAGATAATATTGCTTATTGCGATAACAAGAAGACCATGGCAGGAAGAGGGATTTTCACTCAGCAAGCCTAGAACGAGATGGGGCTGGCCATATCGGAATCCCATACCAAATGCCACCTGGCATGCGTTACAATGCTGGCAGCACTCACTGCTAACTGCCAACCCCCGGTCGTACAGCAATGCTGCTATACCCGCATAACACGACCCTTCGAAGCTCGGTTCAACAGCTTCTTCAATTAATATTCTGCGATGCACTTCCAAACCCAACCTCGCCAGCAAAGCTATGTAGAGGCCTTAATAATTAGAATAGGGTTCTGGCGGTTCCTATAGTAGAATATGGTCACACATATGTAAAAGGCCACGTGGGTTTTCGCAAGCAGCATATTATTCGAATGTGCCTTTTAACCCGCGCCTGCCAGCAAATGTGAGCAATTT